GAAATAACTCGCACAATGAATTCATCTCCATATAGCGCCAAGAATAATTTTGTATGGAGCTCTCCTTCTACTCCTCCATACAGCTTCATGGCGTGGTGTTCAACTACGCACAGCGAAAATGTTAAGTTTACATTAACACTGGACAGTATCCAGCACAACAGGATTTGGGTGTAATGGTCCGATCAGTAGCATAACAGTTACGGGATCTTCTAAAAAAACAAACAAATTAAGTAACTACCAACCAAACAACCAAACACCCAGCCAATCAACCAACTACCCAACCAACCATCCAGCTAAATATCTAGTGAGCTAACAGTCTTACTTACTGCAGTACTATTAGGCCGCGCCATAGCTCAAGCGGTTAGTCGCTGGCTTCCCATCGCGGCGGCCCGGGGTCGATCCCGGGGGCTGGTCAAGTGGGATTTGTGGTGGACAAAGTGGCGCTGGGGCAGGTTTTCTCCGAGTACTTCGGTTTCCCCTGCCAATCTTCATTCCACCAATTGCTCCACAATCACCGTCACCTATCATCTGGGGCTGGTACAACAGGCCAGAAGTGGCCGCAGTACAAAGGACTTAGTCCCACCCCACTAGCAATAAAAAAAATACTGCAGCACTAAAACCATTACGATTTGTGAGGAAGAAGAGACATTTTGAGGGAGTACCTATTCATGAATATATCTTGGGGGTTTTACTAATAAAGCATTGATGTTCAGAAGAAGCGCAAACACAGATATGGGTTTTAACACCAAAAGGCAAATCTATCATTATAACAGATTGTGGAGGCCCATAGGGTTGTGTGGGGTTGTGGCTCCAAAATTTTCTAGTTAACCGGCTCATAAATGACGGTAAGGTTGTCAGCCTTATGCGCCGGTCGCCATTTACCCCCCAGGGAGTTTCCTGGTACTCATTACTGTTAGAGGTTGAGTCGACCCTAAGGTCATAGTGCGACTGGAACGAGGTCAACCGAAAAATTCAATGACCTCATCGGGAATCGAACCCGCGACCTTCTGGCTTTTAGTATAGTGCCTCAGCCAACTAATCTACCGCGTGCCCCCATTCTATTATTATTATTATTATTATTGGGGGGAGTGGGTTTCCCCATGCACCGCGACAAATAGTCTATTGTACGTCCCCCTTTGATATTCTACCAGTCGCCATACCCTGCCGGTACTGGTGCTCGCTATTAGCCCCGTTCAGCCAGCGAGGCTGGCAGTGGTACCCGAATACTTCCCCATCTACCGGAGGCATTGGAAACTACCGTATTTACGGATGTATAGGCCGCACATTTTTTGTCAAAAATTCAAGAGGAAAACTGGGGTGCGGCTTATATTCGAAATATTCGAAATCACACTTCATTTAAAAAAATTATATTCATAATTAGTAATACGGTAATTTATACTCCTGAAATAATATTCCAAGAAAATTATTTTTTCTATAATTTCTGTCTGAAAATTGTACCGCGGCCTATATACGCACGCGGCCTATACATGCGTAAATACGGTACTTGGGCGGTAAACTTTGCCCAATTTTGCTGCCCCCATTCTAACATCAAGCACCAGAAACAAAAATATCGCAAGCTGACTAAACAGCCGTCTGAATAAAGCCGGCACAACAGGGTGAATCGCATTTTCTATTAAACGACGCCGAATGGCGTAGTCCTCCTTCAAAAGCTTACAAAGATTCAGCCATTCAAGATATCTCCACTCGGTGTGGAAGCCGCAAGTTCATTTCATGATGAATCCAATTCACATTCCCGCACCGTTTCTGTGATATTCTTCCATTTAGGCTTAAATCTTCTCTTCAAATAAAATGTTGATACCATATACTATAATTTTAGCCGATCACGTTGGCCGCGCGGTCTAAGGCATGAACTGTCTTCGCTTGCTCGAACGCTGGGATCGTGTGTTCGAACCCCACTCAAGGCATGGATGTCTATGTATGGGTTTATTCTGTGTTTGTGTTGTCTTGTGTGTGGGTAGTGGCCTTGCGACGCGCTGATCACTCGTCCAAGGAGTCCTACCGTCTGCGTAAAGAAAAGATTACGAAACTGAAAAAGCGGCCGGGGTCCCACAATAAGCTGTAGAGCCACTGATGAACGATTGAAGGATTTAACAAATACTATAATTTAGTATGTGTGTGTATATGTATATTCGTTTACATTTTTCACGTATGTTTGGTATGTATTATTAACCGAACTGCGCATGTGTAATGTGCAGGGCCTGTAGACCGTAATAACAGAGTTAAATCACATGCTATCACTGTTACTATCTGTGTCAATCTGCGTTAATTTTATTTTGTTGTGCCTTTGTCTGGATGTTGCAGGCGCGCGTAGGCAAACGGGGAAACCTGTGTAACGAGGTAGTCACAATTTGTGCTTTCCAGCAAATATTATTAGAGTAATCAAATGGAGGAGGATGAGATGGTCGGCGTGTGAGCTGCGCATGCGCAGGAGATGAAAATGCAACAAAATTTTAGATGTAAAACCGAGAGGAAGAAACTGCTAGGTGGATCTAGGCGTTCATTGGAGAATAATATTTAACCCATTCTAATAAGGCAGGGCGTATGACTATAGATATGATTAGTTTAACTGAGAAGTGTCAGGTTTCACAAAAGTTGGCGAATTTCTTAATTGGCTGAGTGACAATTTGTTTCTCAAGCAGGATTCTTCTCCATGGAGATAAACGCCTGAATTCACTTTTAAATCAATCAGTCAAGCAACCAGTAATCAATTAATGGCTTGATTCACCGTTAAGCGTGTTATATCCTAAATTGATTTAGCATGTAACAAATGATGTGCTGCATTCGTGAGCGTTCAATTTTCATCTCCGAAATTTTTGCAGCGTCAGGTGAAGATGTACTTGTTCATTTCATGTTGTGCAAAGAAGACTTACGTATCACGCATTACAACACTATACGAGGGCTATCAAGAAAGCAACCTCCTTTTATTTTATGCATTTTATGCTAGTTTCTGATGTCCACCGAAACCAGTTTTCTATCTTCACCTCCATGTGCTGGTGAGTTCCCTTCACGACAAGTCCATGTTTTACGTATTATTATTCCTACATACGCCATTTCTTATGTCTACTGAAGTGAAGGCAACATCGGGTGTAGTAAGCTTCAACAATGGAAGAATTTCCCTAAATTCATGGTATTTCTCAGTTTACCCTGTGTTACAGAAAAACAAAAAAGAAAAATAACTCTGTGGTTTTAGTCCGCAAGCGAACTATACCGACCGAGCAACCGCCGCTTGTTGGCGAAGTTAGTGCCATCTTTAGCGGAGAGAGGGTGCCGCGTGGTCAGCGCAACGGATCCCCACGGCCATTAATTTCGGTTTTTTTGCTAGACCGGAGCCGCTATTTCCTTGAAATAGCTCCTCAGTTATCCTCATGAGGCTGAGTGAACCCCGTTCCAGATCAACTACTTCTCAGAAAATCTGGTAGCGCTGGGAATCGAATCCGGAACCTCTGGATCTGTAGCCATATTCTGTGTCTCAGATAGTGAAATATTGCGCAACGCATTTCCGGCGTGAACTTCCGAATGAGTAACACGTGTTACATACGAGTATTAGTAAGACTAATGCCAGTCACAACGATAAACAGAAGTAGTTAACCTTGCCGACATGATATAATGAACATTTTGGGGGGGGGGGAATAGGAGATAAACAGCGAATTCCATTTTGATTTTCCCATGATTTAAAAATGTAACTCTTCGTGGCAATGGTCTTTCGAGATTAATTTCCTGCAAAAACACATCTAAGATTAGACGGCAAAATCCAGTCAACACAATGTCAAGGAACTGGCGTCGGTGTAGACCGCGAGTGAATTGCATTAATGAGAAGCTAAAAGATTTGAGTTTAGAATATTATTCACAAAATATTTAAAGAAATGCATGCATGTTAATCAAATTAGAAGTATTTATATGGTAACCGGAAGTTATTGTCATAGAGCCTATATCGAAGCAGATATTTTCTTGGTGGGTGTTCAAGATGTTTAGTATACGTATCGGTATAATTTCGTTTGCGGACTACAGGCCACGGAGTTTGTTTTTTTGTTTTGTACTATTATTACAATATTAACACGTCGACCAGAAGCTCAGCACTTGCTTTGACAGTCGTTGCTGATATACCCTGCGTGAAAATCAATGAAAATAATCGTGGGGGTGGTTTGGTATGTTCGCGTGTGCAAATGGTTATTGATAACCGATATTACACTTAAGTAATGTTAGTAATGAACAGACTAGGAAAGTAGTCAGGGTTAGTCATCAAGTCGTTCAAATATATTGTGTACCCTAGCATGGCTACAGTAAAGAACAGAGTAGTTTTTATCGATATTCAAGGCCAGGGACGGCGAGGCTATGAAAATGTACAGACTGCTATCCGTAAAAACAAATTTCGGTTATGAGAACTCTTGGGTATTTTGTTCTTATTTATTTAACAATTATAAATACTGTAAATGTCTAGGGATTTATTGACCGCTTGTGCAAACCACTCTCAACTATAGTTTAGAGATTATCTAAATCTATTCAATAGTTTCTGTGATAAAACATACGAACAGATAGAATTTTTTTTCCTTGGCACTACAGCCCCAGTGGGTCTAGGCCTACCTCCATGAACTTCTCCGTTCACTTCGGTTTTTCTAGATCTTACACATTCGGTAGGACTCCTTGGGCGGGTGATCAGCTCATCGCAAAGCCTCTACCTATACACAAGCACAGAAAAACGCACGCACACAAACTAAACATCCATGCCCTGAGTGGGATTCGAACCCACGATCCCGGTTTCCAAGCGAGCGAAGACAGTACATACATGCCTTAGACCGCTCGGCTACCGTGACCGGCGAACAGATAAAATAGCTCTCCAAATTTTGGGTACATTTTACGCAGTTCGTGAAGATAAATACTGACAGAGGATGTATATCTCAACTTATCTCTTAGGCCAGTAACAAAGTGTGGCAGGAAGCGACAGGTTTCCACACATCCGGTTACGATACCCAAATGACACACGGTTGCGTGCATGATAACAGCACAAGAAAGAAGAACTCTTCCTCCAAACTGTATGTTTCAACAAAGCATGATATTACTTACAATTAGGAGTACCGATTTAAACTCTTGAAGTCACGCTCGGTGCTTCACAGATCTGAATCATCATCTTAGTCAGCAGGGGGATTCCACATTCAAAAGCTAGTACGCATGCCATCAAAACAAGAATGAGGAACACACTCGTATGCAGTCTGCAAGGATTCCAGTTCGTGTGCCCAGAGGCGGTTATTTTGAACCCGACAGTGCTGCTTGCCAATAGGAAGGAGTGCTCTGGGAAGTGTGCAGATGGTGGTACAGTGCGCAGCTGGCAAGACATCGTGTCACGGATCCCTCTCTATCGGAGAATACCTTGAACAGCACGGGTAGAGGAGACAGAGATGCTAGTCACAGTCTACTCTTTGGTGAGCATTCACAGTTGGTGTTACAGATTTGTTATTCATTGAATAGGTAATTTTTAACCAGTCTTACCTTTATAGATAAATTCAAATTAAATTCTGATGTCTATAACATGAATACTAGACAAAAATATAACTTCCACCTACCCTCATCAACTTTATCAGTATATCAAAAAGGAGTCTACTTTACTGGCATAAAAGTGTTCAACAATCTGCCACAAAGTATTAAAAACTTGGGCAATGATACTAAAAAGTTTAAATCAGAGTTAAAGAATTATCTACATGCTCATTCCTTCTACTCTTTAGATGAATACTTCAATGTAAATAGAGAATGATGTAAAATTAAGTTATATTAATTTTTAAGCTAAAATTGCCTGTACTTATGTATGTAACCTTTTGACTTGTTCTGTATCCAAAGGTACTAACCTGCTTAGGATTTATAGAATGTAAATAAATTCAATTCAATTCAATTCAATTCAATTAAAACTGGTATAAAGCAGACAGTTGATGTTCATAAACAGTTCTATACATTAAGTAATTCAGAGCCTCTTGTTAACTATCAACTGCTGAATGGTGGGACACACAACGTGCACGATAAACATGGGAAATAAACACAAAATTTCAGTTAGAAATCTTGAAGGGAAGAAACCACTTGACTACCTAGGGGGGTAGATGGAAGGATAATGTCAAAATATATCTCAACAAATAGTGTGTGTAAGGAGGTGAACTTGATTCACCTTGTTCAGGATAATTTTCGGAAGAGGTTTCATGTGTTTACGGCAATGAACTTTCTAATTTCATGAAAGACGATGAAGTCTCAGACCACCTGAGCGACTATTAGCTTCTCAGCAAAGAGAATGTTTCTAACGACAGATGATTATGTACCACGCCGAACATGCTGGTTAAGCGGTGAAATATAAGACTTGAATTCGAGAGATAAACAGTTCGAATCTCGCTCGGCCGGAGCGCCGATTATCGCGATTGTTGATTTTCGTGATTTTTCTTCGTCTTTTCAGGCAAATGACAGGTTAATTAATCTATTTGGCCATTCTTTCAGAATCCTCATTCGTCCCACCATCTGATGCGAAATCTAGACATTGACAGCGTGGTTTAACATCTCTAATTATCCCACCTTTTCCTAATATGGGATTCGGAGAACGTGGACACGCAAGAACATTTCTTACAGAGCACTCAAGAGGTAACACTTCTAACTTGCATTCGGGAGGTGATTGGTTTGAATCTCGATCCGGGCGCCGATAATTCTAACAGATTTCGTCGTGGCTTTCCTCAGTTCCTTCAGGCAACTGCGGGGAAATACCTTAAATTAGATCATAGCTAGTTCCTTCTACATCCTCTCCAATTCATTAAGTAAGTAAAGCAAAGGAAAGTTATCCCTGTAACAGGCCATGGAGGCCCGTAATTCAATCACTCGTCATTATACAACCCTAATTATTGACAGCGTCCTTAAATTTACTGCAAATAATTATAAAATATTTTCTTTCGTCTATCACCTTCCATAAAGGGCCAAACTCATTCTCCAAATTAATCGCCTCATTCTGTGATTTGGATAGGCTTCTGTTCGTTTTCTATAAAGAATCAATTTCTATTTACCAATTATGAACTAATTTTAAGTGGAAATACGATTTCTTTTTTATTTTTCCTTGGCACTACAGCCCCAGTGGGCCTAGGCCTACCTCCATGAACTTCTCCGTTCACTTCGGTTCTTTCTCGATCTTACACATTCGGTAGGACTCCTTGGGCGGGTAATCAGCTCGTCGCAAGGCCTCTACCTGTACATAAACATAGAAAAAACGCACACAAACATCCATGCCCTGAGTGGGATTCGAACCCACGATCCCGGTTTCAGAGCGAGCGAAGACAGTGCATGCCTTAGACCGCTCGGCTACCGTGACCTGCGTACTCTTATTTACATATATATATCTGTATACATTCATATAACCCAACAATTAAATTAAATTTAGCTAAAGGACTAACGTACTGAACTCGTCCTTCAATTGTTATAACTTTAAATCCTGGTCAGGTGAAATATTTACTGTTTGAGTAGTATGATACATTATTATGATTATTATTGGAAGAAACTAAGTACACATTTTGTCTATGTAAAATGAAACCTCGGGTTCCATAAAATATTGGGAAGTTCTTGAGCAACTGTACAACTGGCGGCTTCTCAAGAAGGGCTCAGCTCCATGAAGTTAGTTCAGTTAGTATGATTTATTAGTTGTAGACTTAAATTCGGAAGCAAAATATAGACTTTCAGGCAGCAGGTACTTTGTTCTTTCACAATCAACAGATAGATTACCACAACGGAAGTTGCATAATTTTCGAAGGTTCATTGCCATATACAACTGTCTGAGTTGTCATTAACTGTGGCTACTGTCGCTTCCAGTTCCAAAGTTCACACGGTTGTCATGTTGGTATTACTTATGACAGAAGTTAGGAACGACAGACGTGAAGGGCCTCTAACCGCCTGATAATCATACCTCATTTCAGTAGATCGAGTGATGTTCTTACGCCATTAAGAGGAGCATATGTATATGATGGTACGAAAACCCCCTTTTGCCTTATAAATAAAGAAAAGGGGGTTGAAATGAGGAAATGGGCACGTAAGAAAAATGAGCAACGGATCTTTTACAGAAAATACATAGATTCCAACCAAGAATCATATGCAACAGCCACTGAAGGCACTTTCACGTACTCATAAATATGTGAGATTTTCACAGCCGTGAAGATTCACATTGTTATCTTCGGAGTTTTGAAATCATTCAGTCTTTTAGGTGCCAATATTTCGAAGGAACCTTCTGCCTCCATATTCGAGTTGTTGCGTTGTAACCACCAACACAGTGGCATAACAAAAAATACTTCAATATTAATTTTAACCTCCTAGTAAACCTCAAACGTCATCATAAATGCCTATAATAGAAATCTTAAAATGAAGTTTTTCTCATATATTTATGTTTAAAACACCAAATACAATATATTACACTGTAGAGCATGAAGGCCCCCCAGCTTGGGGATTGGACGTAAGGCTGACAACATTGCCCCGTAAAGGACTTACTGTTGCGAAGTCAAAAGAATTGAAAGTCGGAAGTAATCTGGCAGAATCTTTTACGGACTGCTATGGTTCAAAAGGGATTTTTTTTTGCCTATGATGATGATGATGGCAAATAGAGTTCCTTCTTTACTTTCGATATTTTATGATAAATATACGTATTACCACTGTAGACATGCACATGAAATTAAATCTGCATTGGTAATATAAACAAGTTAAAATTGTTATTAATATAATATTACTTAATTTAGTGTTACCCAATAAACGAAAGCCAGAATTTTCTTGTAAGATTTGAGGCTTTCACGGCGGTGANTTCTTGGTTTACATAACAGTACCACAAATGACCTTGCCTTTTTATTGCCAATAGACTTGAAACGTTTCGTCATGACGTTGGAAAGAACGAAATTGTACTATTTACATTCTGCGACCAAGTTTGCTTTACTACTCACTCGGCCTCCGAAGATAAATATAAACAAGGGACGTGTAATCGTGTCAGAGAACCTTTATCTATCCTAACCTCTTCTTCTCAAAACTAAAATTCCACACGCTGGACAGTACAGCGTCCTTACTTTTATGAACTGAAGGTAAATAATTGTAAGAAAGCTAGTCTAGTCTACGTACTGAAAGGATTGCCATCAACGCAGAACAGAATGACATGTCAGTCACGCCGTACCCTCTAAAGGAAGTGTATTTATGTATGGTTTATGTAGTGACAAGGTATCTCAGAATATATAGCGTCACACAGTAGGAGGACAGCATTTCGAGTGGGAATGCTGGAAGGAAACACTGGCGCATACTGGAAGGTACAAGCAGTCTGCATGTACCGGTTCTCACGGTCTCTTCACTTGCGGATTTTCTTATTTTTCCTTCTACCCTGAAGATTGAGGCGATACGTTCCTCCGAAACGTCGGTTAACACCACATCTACACGGTGCCACATCCCAGAAGACTCCTTTCTTCAGGATGTTTATTTATTTGTTCAGGCGTCACAAATATTAAGGCACAGTAGTCATTAACGTATTACTTACCGTTCCACACTGTGTGTTCAGGAGTTCAGGAGTAACACCTACTGTTATAAATAGCCGAGATCACTCAGTGCAGTGACTGCACCACGATCTGGGCGACCTGGTTTCGATTTCCTACAGGAATAAATATTTTTCTCTTCGCCGTCGCGTTAACAGCAGTTCTCGCCTGCACCCTAAACTATTTAATAAATACTAAGGACGAGGTGGTAGAGACGTGAATGTGACCATTAATCTCAATTTAATGCTGAGGTAAGGAATGTATGGAGTCTTCATATTCATTACATCGTCCTTAATAAAACACAAGGAAAAGTTCATCTTTACGCATTATTACAAAATATTTTTAAAAATCCCTCTACTTCTGGGCTGCCACGGAGCTGCATAGGTAAGTGGAGGTACAGTATCACTCATTAACTTATGCAGTAGTCGAAGGTTAGTAACTAGGGTTACGCTCCGACCGATTTATACTATTGTAAAGAGCCTCAAATACACATTGAATAGAGGGCCGATTGGACCCCACAAGCAATCTGAAAGTGGCAGAGAAAACAAAATTTTCTACCCCTTTAACAAACTAACCAACCAACCACATCTCACTAACCGTCCAACTGTCGAACTAAGTAAGAGGTTGATAATCGCTCAGCTGCCTACGTTACTCGCCTTTTATAAAACCCGATTCATTGCTTTGTTCACAACAGCTCGCAAGTGGGCTCTGTTCTGTCTGTTCAGTCCATATCCTCACACATTTTAACAGTGTCCTTCCTTCTATGGCTACAGCTCCCAAGTGTTCTCCGTTTCGGTTTCTTCACCAAATTTTGTAAGAATTCTCATACTGGTATACGAGTATGTGTTGAGCCTACAATTCGCGTCTATCTTTCCCTCCCTGATTTAATCGCCCTAAAATGGTTCGATAAATATGCATTATGATGCTCGTCACCTTACCATTGCTTTCAGTCCCTTAGGATTGTTCTCAGCACATTGTCCATAGACACCCTCGTTCTTCTTTCTCCCTTGGGACGATGGAACCAGTTTCATACCCAATGAGACGAGTAAATAACAGGGTTGTATTCCTTAAAACGAGTACTTAAGCTTTTAGTCAGAGATTCTGAACCTAATGGTAGAAATATAAGATTATATTATTTTCCGATAGCTAACAATTAACTGATTCTTTGATTGATTGATCAGTAACTGTCAGATGACAGGTCCACAGTCTCTTCCAAAACAGTTCCTCCACTTAATGTGATCTTCTGTTTTTGGAAAGAGACTATCCAGGAAAAGTGATAATGTGGTAGTTTTTCCATTTGCTTTCCACATCGCAGTACAACAGCCGTTCAAACCACTCTGGTCACGCCTGTTGCTATACGAACTTGAACCATCTCGAGCATCATTTGTTCTGTGCTTCAAGTCGCTGCTGATGACGCTGCTTCCGGCATCAGTTTTTGGTTTTTGGTGTCTCTCTTCGTCTGATGCCTACCCTTTGACCTGTCCAGCAAGGGAGGCCCTGCCAGTAGCTACGCTACCGCTGGTATAGCTCTCAGGGTCCTTGCCAAGGACCCTGATTCTTTATTGGCAAATATATTCGCGGACTTTTAACACTTATCTTGGTTGCCTGATTTGTTAAGCTATTAATTACTTAGCATTTCAGTCTTTTTATCGTACTGATCTGTGTTTGCATTGTTCACAGATGTATGTTGCAGTGGTAGCTGCGATGGTGGTGAGTGGTAGGAAAGAAATGACAGCTTCTGTGTTCAGCTCTGAGGATACAACAGTGAACACACAGACAAGGGCCAGTTACACAACAGTGAACACACAAACAAGGGCCAGTTACAGACACAGAGACAGCACCACACAAGAGTCGACATCAGGATACCCATATGTGCCGAGTACCAGACTTATGGACAGCAGATCGACGCAGGAAGAGCAAATGGCGGAGTATAAATACTTCTATGAAGGCAGCTCAAATTATACGAATAGGACACAGGAAGGAACTGAAGAACCGAATAAGACGTCTGGATTTCGACGTGATCCAGTAACAGAACGTGACAAATTGACAACAGAGGATGCAACTGATCACGCGAAAGGATTTTCTGAATCCATAAATTTCACTGATAAAACAAATGTTCAGAACACGATACCTGGAAATCCATATCAGTTCAGAAACAACAATGGGGACTGCGGTGAGACAATGAAAGCACAGACCTACCAAGATATGAAGACTGAATTCCCAGACACAATCACGACAAAGGATACGATCTTTAGGCAAGACAGAGACCAACCATGTGCATGGTATGGACTTAACGACAAACTTGCACTAAACAGAACAAACTACGCACAGCAAAGAGGAGTTAACCAGAAGATGTTACTAACATCAATATCCAATATTGATCACAGAGAAACTAATAGTCAACGTCTATTGAAGGTGCTGATTCACGAAGACCATGAACTCAACAAAACTCTTGAGGAAGCATGGAATTACACTCAACATTTCTTAAATTCCGGTGACTTGGAATTAGGCCAAGAAGCCATAAATTTAACACAGAAATATGTTGCCAGAAGACGGTACTGGTTGCGGTACATGCAGTTGTTTTCACTCAGTAAGACGGATGTGCCACTGTTAGCTGACGGAACCGCTCTTCAAGTGAGGGATATGGAGTTGAAAGAAATGGAAACCGTCCTGAGTAAGCTTCAAGATATTCACAGAGTAGTTAAGATTGTCAAAACTAACGAAGACAACTTCCGTACTTATTCCCATACTAATAATTACAGTGCAACTTCGTCATTCCTGTTCGAAACTGAAGGCTATTTGGATGACTTAACAGCCGCCGTTAGTGACATAGAGAAAATATGGGAGCAATACAGCCTTAAGGGTTACTTTATATTTCCATGGAATCTTTCCTTTCATCTAGTTTCAGACAGGAAGACGTATTTGGGAGCCATGAATCAAAGTTTCCAGGAAGAATATATGCAGACCATGAAGAAGAAGGATTTAGAGGAGCTGTTTCAGTATTACATATATCCAGGTGTTTTCATGGTGATATTTGTGTTAGGTGTGCTGGGAAACGGCGTGCTGTTACACATATTTGTGAAACATAAGGAGATACGCAAAGCACCCAACATCATGATCTTCAATCTCGCATTAACGGACATCATGAACTTATTTGCTAACGCTCCACTGTATTATGTTTCCAAGTACTACAGCGAATGGATATTCTTGGATGTGTATGGATGTAGGGTTTTCGTCACTTTTCGTTTTCTCAATCACACTATTATTGAGTTATCTATTGTTGCACTGAGCGCTCAGCGTTACTATGCAGTGGCTACAGCCCTTGACTATCCAACTTTACGGAGACTATCAGCGCGTTCCAGAACTATTCTCTTCATCCTTATAGTCTGGCTAACAGCTCTAGTCCTTTCTTTACCACCTTCAATAATTTTTGAGTTCAAGGACGGTGTATGTTTTCCATTTGTAAGGTCTCAAATCGTTGTTAAAGCACTGGATATATTTTATTTCACTTTCTTTTGTTTTTTCCTTCCTGTAACTATGGGTGTATTCAGCGTTTTGACAGCTCGTAAGTTGAGACAAAGTGTAAGTAATATGCCTGGAGAACTTCGTTACAAAACTCGAGAAACAGCTCGTTACAGAAGTGCCAAAGTGGTCACGTCTCTTGCCCTCTCTTACGCTATTAGTCATATTCCAAGATCCATTTGGTTCTTTTTAGTGTCATTTTTTCACCTCAACAGACGGGAAATGAAATACATTATTGTTGATGAAGTGACGAACTACTTAATTTTCTCTAACTCTTGTTTAAATCCGTTGGCGCTGTACATAGCCAGCGGTACGTTCCGACAGCTGTTCAAGCGACATCTGTTCTGTGTTCAGCAAAACAAACAGGGCTCTGCCCCTTTGCACCGACAAGTGACAGCGAGCAGTAGTACACGGCTGGTGTACTTTATTGACTCTCACGCTGGAGACAAGGCCAGTTCTAAAACTTCTCTTAAGAGACAAAGTGTTGGAGATGGAAGTGATGTTAATGTAAATATAAACCCTAGTGTTAATAATGACTAACTGCCTGCGGAAAATCTTTGAGAAAGAAATATATACTATTCCACATCCTCTACCTCTATTTCGTTGAGATTCATTTTAATATTATCCTTATATCTATGAATAGATCTCCCAAATGGTATATTCTCTTCAAGTTTTTATATCAATATTTTGTAAGTATTTCTTCTTTTTTTTTTTCGTGCTATATACCTCGCCCATGTCACGGCCCTGATGTGATCAAACTGACAGGCTTTGGCAACGAATTTAAGTTTTTTGCCAACTATTTTCCATGACAGAAGGAGTATAAATTTTAATCAGTGCGTTTTCAATATGCGGCACTGAATACTAGAAAACAGTATAAATTTTGAAGAAAGCAGTCTTCTGGGATGTGGCACCGTGTAGATGTGGTGTTAACCGACGTTTCGGAGGAACGTATCGCCTGCTTGTACCCGTTCTCACGGTCTCTTCGCTTGCAGATTTCTTATTGTTCCTTCTACCCTGAAGATGGAGGCGATACGTTCCTCCGAAACGTCGGTTAACACCACATCTACATGGTGCCACATCCCAGAAGACTGCTTTCTTCATAGTCACCGCCGTGAAAACCTCAAATCTTACATAGTATAAATATAGCTTATAACACTCTAATTTTATAAGAAGTGACCAGCTTTTCTTTAGAACAATTTACATCGAATGATGTATTTGTTTGGCTGAGTTTCACAAACTTTCTTCGAAATATATTCTGAGTTTTGAATGTATGAGTATATTTATAAATACATCTTAAACACTGAATATGGAAGTCTGTTGATGGAACAGAGCTAACGCGTGTGGCAGTAGGACTCCAGATTAGTATTAGGGAAGTATTCCCCATTCGTTTTACATTCCCTGCCCATCTCATCCTGCTTGACTTGATTATTCTAATTATACTTGGCGAAGAGTACAAGTTAAGAAGCCTTCAATAAAACAATAAATAAGCAGATACTTGCATGACATTCATTAAATGGGGTTTTGTAATTGTAAAGATAAGGTACGGCATGTACTGTCTTCGTTCGCTTGGAAACCTGGATCGTGGGTTCGAATCCCACTCAGGGCATGGATGTTTAGTTTGTGTGTGTACGTTTTTCTGTGTTTGTGTACAGGTAGAGGCCTTGCGACGAGCTGATCACCCGCCCAAGGAGTCCTACCGTATGTGTAAGATCTAGAAAAACCGAAGTGAACGGAAGTTCATGGAGGTAGGCCTAGGCCCACGGGGGCTGTAGTGCCAGGGGGAAAAAAGGTACAGTTATCTCTCTGCTTAATTAAGCACTACGCCATGAAGACATATGCAGAAATGGAAGTATAGCTTCACGTGTTATTAACCCCGGCACCCGATGTAGATGAGTGATCAGTCTGACGCCCCGGCCGCTCTATCCCTTAACCAATCTACAGAAGAATGTATAGAAATCGGAGTTGGTCTGGACAGAACATTGAGTAGAAAAAGTCATGTCCCTGCCTGGGATCGAATTCCAACCTCAAGCCCGTAGTCATTGCAGTTTTAAACATGAGCTTTAAGTACGATGTAAATATTTTTAATTCGCTAGTGGGGGGGGGGATCCAACTGGGTCCACTCGGCACGGCGGCCGCTGATAAGTACGATGTACCCGTAAATTCGGTAGTTGATAAGTTACTTTATATTCCTGTAAGCGGAGTTTCATTTGTGGCTGCTTTCACGGGGACTCCCTGTTATGTGGTGTGCTGGATGAATGCCAAAGCGCGAAGCAGATTTCTCGCTTACTTCCTGTTTCCTTCGAGGAATGCTTGTTGCAAGAGCGACTGGAAATGTGGGGGATACCCTAACTAGTTGCATGATCCCTCTAATGGAAAGACCCCTGAATTGTAACGGGAAGGAAAACTAGAGCCAACAATTTATAAAAATTCACGCTGCTATATGACAAATATGATTAAGTACCACGCATCTAGTTTACAAAATTCATCATATGTTCCATGGAGTTCATTATATTGGGGTGAGTCCACTTGGTACTGCGGCCACTACTGGCCTCCTGTACCGGCCCCATATGATGGTGACTGTGGAGCAATTGGTGGAATGAAGATTGGCAGGGGAAAGTACTCGGAGAAAAGCAGCCCCAACGCCACTTTGTCCAACACAAATCCTACATGACCAGACCCTGGTTCGGACCCGGGGCGCAGCGGTGGGAAGTCAGCGACTAACAGCCTGAGCGCGGCCTTGAGTTAAGTGGCCAGCTGAACGCATTCACAAGTAAGGTACAGTAAAGGGAACACAATTTTGCTACAGGGTGCGCCTAAATGCCTCGGGCAATGATGAATGTTATGCCTCTTCGCTGGAATCCGGTCTTGAGGTTGCGTGGTACACACCTAGAAATCCAGGAAGAAGTATGGCAAAAGGAAATAGTAGATGACCTTGAAAGACAAACAAAACTCTGCATAAAACAATGCTTTGATTTTTCACTGTTGCCAAATGTACGGTTAAGATATCATGTATACGCTGTACGGTGAGAACTATGAAGACAAAGAAAGGTTAAGGTTTATACATGTAAAAGAATCTTCTTTAAAAGCGTATACCAAAGGACCTTAGCGTTCTTGTTTTGTTCCAGGGAGGTTTTCGTTTAACGCAAGTATTTATTTCTCGGTAACATACCGTGAATATAGTCGGAAAACCTGAAGGGAAGAGACCATTTGCATGACAGATTTGTAGATGGGAAATTAATGTTAAAATCTACCTTAAAGAAATGGTGTGTTGAGTTTAGATTGGCCCAGGATAGGGACCAGAGGCCACCTCTTGTGAACACGGTAATGGACAGTCAAGTTCCATAAAAAGAAAAAGAAAAAACAAACTCCTTAGCCTGCAGTCATCAAGCGAACTATACCGACCGAGCGACCGCCGTTTGTCGGCGAAGTCTGTGCCAACTTTTGAGGATACAGAATGTCGCGTGGTCAGCGCAACGGATCCCCACGGCCGTTAATCTCGGTTTTCTAGACAGGAACCGCCATTTCCTTGAAATAGCTCCTCAGTTATCCTCACGAGGCTGAGTGGACCCCTTTCCAGACCTACTATTTCTCAGAAAATCTGGTAGCTCCTGGAATCGAACCCGCGGCCTCCGGATCTGTAGCCAGGAACTCTGACCACTAGACCACAGAAGCGGTCCAACTTCCATACACGGCGAAAAATTCTGTGTAGCTTCTCAACAAGGACCGTGCTCTGTGGAGTTAGTTTGCCTATCAAGGTCTCCGGTTGTATTTCGTAATCGAAGCAACGTACCTTACGATTACTGGTTATGCCATTACGTCATTTGTCAGGCAGTTCTAACAGTCCCTCTTCTACAAATGTTTTTATTTAGGTTTTGTTAGACTAATAATAGAATTGCACGACATAAAATTGCAGAAATAAAGGAGGATGTAACTAAATAGAGATCTGCCCTTCCGGCAAAGCACATAAAATCGGAGACAAAAGTTTACAGCTTGGTATTTTTACTGTTGTCTGTGAATAGCTCTGTGTACATTTTACTTTCTCCGGATTAATTTCTGTGTAGCTATGCCACTGATATGGGTCAACAGAGTGTGACGTGGGACAGCATTCAGTGTTTGTTATGTTATACAAGAGCGAAGGCTTCTCTCTTTGAAATACCCGTATGAAAAAGCTTCCTGAAAATGAACTATAAGAATAATTTTACGTGCGAATAAATATTGTCCCTCCTTAAGGCTGTTCGTCCCGAATAGCCTAACGGTGCTTCCCCCGTTCCTTTTCTTCGGAGGCTGTTCTTTATATTTACGTAGCCGTAACACTGTTTGGCTCCACGGAGATTCCGAGAAAACAGGCATGTTCTCTCTTAATGCATGAGAAGACGTGAACTAAATCAGTTTCAAACTGATCTTAGATTAATTTATCCTCATTTGTTTATTGGAAAACAATTACAGCCAGGGAGAATAAGGATTGTACTTCACAGTAATATTTTTGTTGGTTTCGATTGTTTACTTAATTTCTCATTGTCACCGCTTAACAATATTTTATCATCCTCAACGCTGTTGCCGTGTAACATATTTCAGAGCTATTCGTAAAGAGTCCGCTAATGTTCATGGTAATTAATAAAACGATTTTGAATAGAACAATTTAGTTCGACAGTAAGATAAAAGCATACCAGAAATAATTGGGTTTAAAGAAATATTTCGTAATAAGTTTAAATTAAAACCAAAAATGAAGCAAAGAAAATGCTTAGATCTCGAAAAAAATGAAAAAATGGAAGGAAAGAAATAAAGAACGAAAGAAAGAGACTGTTTTTTTATTTAATGACATTTAACAACTGCAGAGATTTTGTTTTTTCGATTCACGAGGGGAGTACGAAAGATGAAATTAAACATATAAAGAAACAGTCATGACCTATTTCAAGTACTGCTACAAATATATCGTGGAAGATATAAAAAAAAACCAGGAAACGTATTATTCAGGATAATCGGCTGCGGCCTGAGATTCGAACCAAGGGCTTCGCGAATGCGGAACAGAAATATTAATAACTACAAGCTCGGCATGATTAGATAACTAACTAACGAACGAACGAAAGAACGAACATAATGGAACTGAGTCCTTGAGATACCGTCGGTCGCGAATTTCGTAACATTTTATGGTACCCGAAGCCTCATCACTGTCTTTACAAGAGCTTGTCATTTGTCCCTATCCTGACTCAGATGAATTCAGTACACACCATTCCAAATTATTTATCTTTTGCCCATTTTAATATTATCCTCCCACCTACGTCTTGGTCTGCATAATGGTCTCTTCCATTCTGGCTTTCCCACTAAAGCTCTACATGCATTTCTTTTCTCCCCCATTCGTGCTACATGACCTGCCCACCTCATCCTCCATGACTTGATCATTCTAATTATACTTGGAGAAGAGTACAAGTTATGAAGCTCCTCATTATGCAGTTTTCTCCAAACTCCTGTCACTTCATCACTCTTCGGGCCAGCTCGGTATATCATTTTAAATCGAAATCCTAACAGAGTTTTAAATATGGATACATGTGTGTCCCCTCGTTGGTGTCTCCACCTTATCGTGGTCAGGGGGTTGGAGTA